CACGGGCCCACTCGGGGCCTGCAGGGGGCGGCCGAGCATGTTGATGTTTCTCTCTCCTTTCCTCTCTCTCTAAAAATAAAAAATAAAAATAAAAAGTGTGGTTAACAAAAATATATTCTAGTCAGTGCTTGTGTTGTTAAGTCTACTTTCTTCACAGACTAATATCTTTTATCTCTCAGTGGAGTCATGAGATGGTACCAAAAAAAATTTGGTAACAGTAAGTTTTGTTCATTTTTGGCTGTGAAATGTGGTAGAGAAAATTGAAACTAATATCTAAATGTAGCTGTCCTATATCTCGTATCTGGCTATATTTATTCTGTCTCCTATTAAAAGCAAACAAAAGTTAAACACATATGTTCTCTCTAACAAATTCAGAGACTAAAAGTTAATTCTTTGTCTGTTTTAGTTTCTTACTTGGAAAAACTTTACAATATTTCTCAAGTTGATTATTTAAATACTTAATATATCCATAATAAAATAAATTTATAATGAACTTTTTTCTTCAGTTGTGAAGACAGAGTTGACTTTTCCTGTTTTCCTGTTAATGGGACCTTGTGAGTCCTCATTTAGTTACACATCTGTCTCCAAGGGCTTCCACAGGGTTCCTCTCTGTTCTTTAAGCAGCTTATTCTTAAAAGAAGTTTTTATCTTTTTTGGTAATCACTGCACAGCAAATCAAAGGGAACTGTCAAGTCTCCCTGAACAAGTAAAGAGGAGGAAAAGTTGATTTTCGGAGACAAGTTTATAGTTTCCATAGCTGGGAACCACTTTGCAGCTGTGTCCCAGTTTTACTCTATTTAAACACTCCTTGACATTTCAGATGGCTGTTACACTTGAGGTATATGTAAGCATAACTCATTGTCTGAAATTATCTCTTTCTAGGTAAACAGGATTATAAAAAGACCAAACCTATTTTACGAGCAACCAAATTAAAAGCAGAAGCAAAGAAAACAGCAATAGGCATAAAGGTACCTGTATTTGATAACTTTAAAATTTGATATGTGCATGCCACTTTATTTTCTAACACTGGACTGCATAAATGTTGAATTCTAAATGTTTTATGACATTTCAAAATTGTAAGTTGAATGCCAGAGTCGAAGGTTTTTGTAAAGAATTTACTTAATGGGAAACATCCTCTCATCCTTAGATTTTACCAGGTCTTAAAACACTGTATCACTTGCAAGAACAGGTTATACTTAAAGCTGTAATTTTTTTCCTACTACTGAATATACATTTCAGTGATTTATGTGGCCTAAATAAAAAATTCTCATTTTCAGTAAATTTCATTTGACAGTTGTTTAAATTTTAGTCGTAATTATATATTCTTAGATCATTAATATATGTAAATTTACTCTTTGAATTATTATTGTTGTCAGTACTCTCTGTGATGAAATTCTAATGATGTTCTCTCAACAAAGTAACTTGAATGATATTAGCAGATATTAATCCATTGTGTTAGCACAATGAAATTCAACAAAATTACATTTCCATTATTACCCGTGTCAATTCTTTGCCAAGTATTTATAGTCAAATTAAACTATTAGTAGAAAAATTCATTTGGTGCCTTTACTGTCAACTGTGTAAAATTACAATGACGAGTACATATATTTTATTTAAATATTAAAATATTAAGAGGAGATTTTAGTTTTTATCCAGCAGATGAAAAATCAATTTTTCAAAGTTATAGCTTAAAGCAAATGCCAAGGTATTACTCCCAAGCTGTAACAGCTGTTGAGCTGCCAGATGATACAGTTGGTTGTCTTCCAGAATCTGCTCTTACGGTCACGAGACGCTGCTTCTTTTTACTCCTGATTGCCGATTTTGATCGAGCATTGCTGTGCGAGGTGGTGTGTTTTCACTGTACAGTCTCCTCAGTGCTGTCAATTTTTAATGAAAAACAAAAAAGTAGATTGCCTTTTTGTTTAAAAGAAAGATGCTTAATCTTTTGACGTTTTCTCATTTCATATGAAATTTCATTCATCTTTGAAATTATTTCCATAACACAACCTTTCTCAAGGCAGTGCTTAATTAGTTTTTTATTTTACAATTAGTTACCTGGGTAATATGACATACTTTTATCTTTCATAGTGTTGTGTTTTTATTTTTGTTTTGTTTCTAGAAAAATATTGGGGTAGCAAACTCCACTTGTGGCACAATACAGTGAACAACTGTAAAAGAAACAGTGCAGCATTTATCCATAAATATATACCACTTTCTTATACACACTCTCTTTTTTATTTGCTCTTATAATTTTAATCCTCACCCAAGTACATGTTTATTGATTTGAAAAAGAGAAAGAGAGAGAGAGAGAGAGAGAGAGAGAGAGAGAGAGAGAGAGAAACATTGATGTGTTGCCTCTTGTACGAGCCCCCACCGGGGATCAAACCCACAACCTAGGTATGTGCCCTGACTGGGAGTGAACCTGCAACCTTTTTGTTGTACCAACTAAATGAGCCACCAGGCCTGGGCTACTCTTACAATTTTTGTTATTTTAATTTAAAGAAATAACTATGTCCCCAGTATAAGTCTACTTTATAGTGCAATTATTTGTCTTTTTACAAGCAGTGTGGAATTTGTTTCTTTTTATGAGAAAATTTTTTCTTAGATTTCATTTATAATTTGAAGTATGTGCATAGTAGTTTCTGACATCAGAACAATTTTTTTTTTTTTTTTTTAAGGCCAACATATTTTGATTTATGAGTCTATGGGAGAAAAGCTTTAACTTTAAACATTGTTTACTTTGCTTGAAAATTTATGTAAAGAGCTCATTAAAATAATATGAAACTTTTTAGAATCAGAACCATGGAGGTGTTTTACATTTCAAATCTGGCATACTAATTAGTTTGCCCTGTCACAGTTTGATTACGTTGTCATTTTAGCATAGGGTTTTAAATAACAAAGTTTCTCTTAGCAATTGCTACTTAATGCTATTTAATTTCCCCAGTGAGTGATTTTATCCGTATTGATAATGTCAGAGAAGCAACCAGGGACTAATGAACATCAAACATGTTTGGCTCTTATCTGGTTGATACGGGATGGCCATAATATCATAGTGTTTTATCACTTCATAACTTATTCTTTAAAGTGAATTATAGTTACGGTCTTAAAATAATATAAATCTATAGAATAGCTGCATGGAATAGAAAAATCACAGAAGTGACAACACCGAACACAAAATACGGAGGCTCAGGGTCAGAGCGCTCCTGCCCCTTCCTCCCCCCACGGCCGAGTTCAGGCTGGCGCGGGGGGATGGAGATCGTGCCCGTGCTCCCGGTGTGGCCGGAGGGCTCGGTAACAGCGAGGATACGTGACCTTGAACTCCGCACACGGGAGGCATCTGTGAGTTGTTAGCATGTTGAGAAAATGTTTCCTTGCATTACTTGTTACTGGTCTGTGTAAGTGAGACTTCCCTCGGTGTTTGTCCTTGGCCCGAAGGCCCCGTTGGAGCTCAGCCGCATCGCGTGACTGTATCACGGCGGGAGCGCGCGGCGTTGCGTGGGGATCGCGTCCTGTAAAGCATCCTTACGGTTGTCAAGTTTCGGAAGCAGTGCACGACTTTAATATACTTTATAAGTTACATAGATCTTCAGTCCTTGTTATTAACTTAGATTACCGTAAGTACTAGGATGTGTAGAGCCTGTGGACGATGGACAAGACGGGGTGGCCTTGGGGCGCACGGAGAAACCGCTTCCAGACGGGGCGCGTGGGGCGCGCGCGCCGGAGAGA